ACAGGTCCAATTATTTTGCGTTCGTGCGTACCTTGACCCCGTCGTTGTAGCTGTCCACTGGGCTCAGGTTGGCCAGGTTGGGGAGGTGAGCTCCGGGGCGGGGCGGCTTCTTGGGAGGGGCTACATGCTCTGCAGAGACACAGCCTCAGTCTTACTTATCACAGTTTCATGTTTCAAAAATATCCCTCAGCTTAAACTGCCCATGTTGACAGAGAACGCTGCTGCATATTGTGTAAGCACATTTATTTCTAAAGGATTGTGGTAGCACTTTATTTGCATAAGACCGACATGACACTGTCATAAACATGACATCACACCTGCCATGATGTTTACGACTATTGTCAAGAAGTGTCATTTGGTAAAAGATGACACTTTTAATGCAAAGTTCCATTAAAACGTCCATTAATAGTGTCATTATTTTTCACTTTAACAGATTCTCTGGATTTTTTATTTTTTTACATATTTGTATTTCATCTTGGTCTATGTTGAATTTCTCTTTACAGTCTAGATCATCCATCCATCCATCAATTTATTTTTTATACGTTCATCCAATTTTTGATTCCAGCATCCATTCAGTTTTTCATGCATGCGAGTGACATCCAGTCATTCTTTAAAGTCTCAAACCATTTAGTAATTCCGTCATTCCTTTATTTACCCATTCATTCATTCATTTGTTAATTCACTAATGTACTCATGCAGGTATAGACTCATCTATCCATGAATATAGTCATGCACATTCGTGTCGTTCTTCATGCAACGTTCATTAAATCGTTCCAGATTCATTCATCCACACATTTCTCGACTTGATTTGACATGGAGGATTTTGAGGAAACAATAATTAACAATAACGCACTCAGATGAAAAAGAGATTATAACTTAAAGATGATCTTCATAGTAAAGGGTATATAAAAAAGCAATAACGATAGAGCAGCAGTAAGTGTGTTATATCCAACAGATTTTGTTATTTTACACAAAATTTAGAGCAGGTTTGACTTTATGCTCATGAATCAGAAAGTTTCAGACTGGAATGGATCTTTGTATGTACCTGGTTTCCCGACAGGCTGGTAGATATGTGGACTTCCTCCCTGTTCAGACACACACACACACACACACACACACACACACACACACACACACACACACACACACACACAGAGAGAGAGAGAGAGCTTAGTGTTAGGAAACAGTTTCATGTTTCTAACAGAGCCAGCTTATTACTTTTCAAGTGAAATAAGACATTCGAAGAGCAGATTCAGAGTTATAAACACGCCGTCCTTCTGGATTTAACGTTCCCATGGCGCTCTGTGGTTAGGCGGCTGGTATGTAGGCAGTGCCCTTCGCAGCACACAGACAGAAATACTTTCTCTGCTTGCCCTGCTGTCTGTTTTCTCTGTTTCCCATGAATGAAAGCGTTCCCCCTGTTTTCCCCCACTTCTCTCTTTCTCCTGCAAATCCACATCGCCCGTTTGCCCTGCTGCTCTACTAATAACAGCGCAGACTTTCGTAGCTTTCGTGCAGAAAATGTTTTTGACTGACCGGTGTCTGCAGAGTGCCGTCTTCTCTGTCGATGCTTCCTCTGCTGTTCCTGGACTCTGGTTTCTGCAGAAAGAAACACTCAAACTGAGCATGCACTGGCTAAAACAGCAGAAATAATGTAACAATTTATGAAATTCAACAATAAAAAAAATAAGCAAGCACTCTGCTTTGTCATTTAAAAAAAAAAAAAATAGGTGCACACGTTTAAATATTGTGATCAGCAGCTTTGAAACGAGAAACAATCCAAACCAAGCAGCAGAAAGCAGCATATCTCAACAGGTAGCTGCAAAACCGAGTGCAATCTCAGCGTTACCAGATCCAGTAACAACGGCGGCTACAGCATCTCCTATTTCCAAAATAAAATCTGCCGTCAGAGAGACAGGCTCCTCTTCTCTCTGCCTCAGTACCGTTTTGGTGAAGCACGCCTTGAAGAGATGCATCCTGACAGAACACAGCGCGAAGAAGACGGGCGACCGAACGAAGAGGCCATCGAAAGAAGAGTTGGGACGGGAACAAAAAGTGTCAGAGAAAGAAGGATGAAGACAAAAAAAAAAGAAGCATAAAACACAAGAGGGGTTGGAAGACAGAGAAAATAAATGAAGAGAGAAAGAAAAACTGAGTCAGAGGGGAAAGAAGAGACGGAGAAAGTTTTTTTTTTTTTTTCAGAGAACAAAAAGTTCCACTGAAACGCAGACAAAATCCTGGAAAAGAAACGATCCAACTGCATCACTCTCTTTCTCTCTCCTTCAGCTGTTCCTCCCTCTCTCTCTCCCTCCCTCACACTCTTTCCATCCCCCTGAATCTCCCTCATTCCTCCCTCTGCGCTGCTGCCGCCAATCCCACTTCCCTCCTCCCTCCCTCTGTCCTCCTCTCACACTTAACGTGTCTCTTTGCGTTTCTGCTTTTCGCTCTTTGCTCTTCCTTGTGTCACTTTCGCCACATATTCTTTACTTTTACATCAAACATCGTTTTTCCATTAGATCGAAAATCCACAATCCACACGAACAATTATAAAACAATCACTCCATAGACGCCCCTGGTAAATTGAGGTAAACACCTTAAAGTAAATTTTCAAGGCTTAAAAAAAAAGAAAAGAAAAATCCAATCTTTAATTTCAGTAAATCTATTCTGTTTGGGGAAAAATAACCAACTTTGAGGAATATATTTCCAACATTAGCATAAATATTACTGAAGAATTTTGTACTTTAATCAACTTAAAGTAGTTGAAAAGCGTCATTTATCAGCTCTGCCTCCCTGTCTAATTAGGCTAGAAATTTGATGCAGCACACTTAGCCTCTGTTCAAAATGGGAAAAACAAGAGAACATGCCCCTCAAATAAGGCAGCACCTTCATACACAGGCTCAGATCTACAGTCAGGACAAAAAAGGAAGGAAAGAAGAACTCAATGAATGGATGTAGGACAGAAAACAAGGACACAAGAAACACATTGAGATCTTTATGCAGTGTCTTTATTTGTTTTGTTATTTTGCTTTAGCATGAATTAAACGGCATCCGAAGTTTCTAGTTTGTTTCTAAATAAATGGAAGAAAGTCCTAAGTAAATTTCAGACAGGCCCAGTGAAAAGAATCCAAAGTTAATGTATGTAAAAAAAAAAATAAAATAAAATAAAAAAAAATAAAAGTCTGCTCTCTGCTGCTTGGTTTATGGTTTAGTAACGGTCGGTGTTTTCTGGATATGTTAAGGTTGAAGACGAGCCTTCTTTCCAACACGTGACGTATAAAAACATGCTTTCCAAACTGTCTGAAAGGAAACCACAGATAAATTAAATACCAAAGTTTTGACCTGCTCTGAGTGACACGATAGATTTAATTGAGACGCGAAGAGCAGGTCGAGTACATGTGAAGTCAGGGTGAAAAATGAAAGACGGGGGGTGGAGGACACGAGCCTTCTGCCATTCAGGCCCACCTACGTCTGGCTGAAAACCCGAAGGACAGCCAATCAAGTCGAGAGAAGAAACGAGGAGAGTAGAAAAACAGAGCTGTTAAACGATCGTTTTTTTGGCTGCTTTTCGGATGGTTTTACTGTCTGATGAGATAAATCAAAACCTGCACAGCAGAGCCAGGTTAGCGATCTGAAAAAGATATTTTGGAGCTCTTCTGGCAAAAACAGCCGGCACAAATCTCCGCAGATAAAGTGGAACCTTATTTTTTTGTTTTTGGTTTTGTTTTGCTTCCGAATCTTTCTGGTCGATTCTTTTGCCAACGAATACCACAGTTTGTGATCACAACGAGCTTTTACTTTAACGGGGACCGTATGTAATAGGCCAATTTTTGGATGAATCTCTTCAACGCAAACGAATCCAGAGGCAGTTTCCTCGTTGGCCTGTTAGCCTGGTTTCCAGCCCTTCGTTTGATCCAGGTGTGTCGGAGCAGAGATGCGTCCACAGGTCGGTGGCCGTCAAGGACCAGAGTCTGACCTGGAGACCGAAACTTTCCTTCCTCTCCTTTGCAAACTAGCTCATAAGGTTGGATGGAGTCTGTGGGTGTTTTCACAGATTTAGGGCTTTAACTAGACCATCTTATCACTAATATCCTTTGACATGAACCCATCCCATCAAAGAGAGGTGAACAGGACTTTCTTCTGACATCGTTACCACTTCATAAAGAACAGATTCTCGGAGAGGTTATATCAAGAGAACTTGGTTATTTTCAAAGCTCGTGGTGTTCTTTTATAACCAAACTCATTCCTCTGGTGTCTTGCATTGTTTTCTGTTTTATCTCTTTAACATCCCACTAGGTGTGTGAACAAACACAGTGTGGCACAATTTCTAATCTGAATGACAAATGTGAAAATCAAAGCTCATGCAACTTATTTCCTGATGCTTGTCTGGGTAATATTTTGTATTCTTGCGGTGAAAACTGAACGGCTATGATCACAAACTCTCTTTCTGTGTGAGTTTCATTACCATGTGGCTCTCCTTCTGCTCCAGCCACCGCCGGTCTTCCTCCATCTCCTGCTGCTGCTTTATCAGCGTCTCTTCCATCAGAGCCTGGTTCACATCCAGTCTCTCCTGGAGAACAACGAGACCAGAAAACCAGAAGAAGAAAAAAAAAAGATATGGTCAGCTTTTATTTCACATGCAGCTACTGAAAAGAGAAGGAGAAGAAACAAAGCGGCGTACGCTGCGGTGTTCCAAAGTGGCATTTAATATGCCAAGATAATTATATAAATAAGACTTAAAATGGGAGATTTAAGTTCTGGTAAAAGATTCAAGCAACTTTTATAGAATCAAATTATATGTAAATGTTCGATTAACCCTCATGCTAAAAGCAATACTGTAATGTAGCACTTAGAATTGTGTAAGATCAAGATATCTGCATGTTTCAGTAAGTCAGATTTAAGACTTTTAAAACAGAGTGAAAACTTTTTGCCCAGATTTAAAGCCAATTTAATGCCACCTTGAATTAAATTTAAGACCACAGAAACTCTAAATACAAGGGAATCCTGCTGCAATCCAGCATAATTTAATTTCCCTCTGGGATTAATAAAGTATTTTTGAATTAAATAGAATAACAAAAAATGTGAAATTTCTGGGGTCTTTTTGTGACTATTGGCAGCGGCTTTGTGTTTCTCACACTGCATACCAATCTCTACAGCCTTAACCCTTATTTTTTATTTGAGCCAGTGGTGAAAACGATCGTCGTTCAACCAGCTGGACATACATTTGCACTTACAGTATTCACAATAGACGCTAGCCAGCTAGCAATCTAGAAGGGTATTTCAGCAGCTAGTTAGCGGTAGCTTTAAGTGCCTCAAGTCAAAGAAAGCAATGCAGGTGTCTGCGAGTAACTCCACCCTTTGCCTGACAGAAAAGTCCCGCATTTAATAAAAATAAAAAATAAAAAATAGCTCCCTGACAACGAAATAAAAGATCTGGGATCAAATTATTAAATTTTTTAAAATGAATTGAAGACATCTGAAAGCCTTAATTTGTAGATACATGAATTTAAGTCTTTTTAAGGATAATCTGAAGACTGAAAAATAAAAATAAAATAAAAAAACAATGGCTTCTGTTGCTTCTGATAGAGGAAATAAGCAGCTCAATTTTACCTCCATAGTTGGGTTCCACAGTGGTGCATGTTCAGGTCTGAGCTGATTCCACGAATCAGAAGAGGAATAGCTGCCTCCTACTCCTCCGACTCCACCAGGCGACGGCTGGAGGCAGGAAGAGACAGGAAATGTTTCGTTTCATTGTGTGAACAATGCTCTCTTTTAGGCATAAAGAAGCTCAGCATTAGCAGTCATCTGTCTGTCCACTGCTGGAGGAGCGGTTGCTGTAAAGTTAATGGCTAAAAAAACAAAAACAACAAAAAAAAAAAAAAAAAAAAGAAACACCCTACTGTTTTTTTGGCAATAAGTTCATGTTTTTTGGTGACTGGAAAACAAGTAATTTCTAAGCCTAGCCCGTTAACTAGCAACCGTAGCTGCACTCCAGCATGTTTGTCCAGCTGGTTTTACCGCTGTATCCACTGTATAATGGCTGCTGGACAACACAAGTGTTTTGTTGTTGACATGCCATCCCCGAAACCACTTGCTGCATTCTTGTTGGTTGTGCAGGAGGCTCTATTAATGCTTTTCAAAGACGCATGGTTATGTAATTGTGCATATCTTTGCAGCCATTTTCACGTGGGAGTGTAAACGCTGGGTTCGGGGGTCGGGGGGTGGGGGCGTGGCCAGCCACAGCTTATTTGGATTTAAAGTGACAAGACTCCCTAAAACAGCTCAAGTGAGAAGGAGCTCAATATAGGCAGAACTGAGCAGAATAAAATCTTATTATCTAAGAACGATTTATTTGGGGAAAAGAAATGTACTGAACATGTTTTATGTAGCCCAAAGACCTATCCTAATCTGTTTAAGGAATTATAATAAGTCGCCTTTAAAACAATTGAAGACTGTAGACTTGTATGTCGCTAAGTATATCCTCAGATTCTTGACAAAAATAAGATTGAGAGTTGTTTTTTTTTGCCATAGAGAGAAAACGGTGGTTTTGATTTGTGCCTGCGTGGCCATGTGTGAGCAGCTTTTAGCACAACAGGAAATGCCTTCCGTCTGCTCCGTTCACGAGGAGAGGATTGAGAGAACTCATTGCTCTCCCCTGTTTCTCTTTGTTTTGACCCATGCAGCAGAGTCACACTGATCTGTGTCAATCCAGGGGTAACAGCCCCTCAAACTGTTGCAGATAAATAAATCCCTACATTTATTTGTGTGCCTCTGATAGCTGTCTGATGCTTAAAATTGATAATATACATAAGTGATTTATGTAGTGAAGAGAAATAGCATAATTATGATTAAAATATTTCATAAATTTTATTTGTAGTTGCAAACATATTTTACATTTTTTTTATTACTTTCAGTCAACATTGATGTTTCTTTCTTGCACTGTGTGGACGTCAACTTTTAGGACAGCAAATAGCTTTTTTCCTTACTCAGATGAGGTTGGTGTGAGTTGATCTTTATGTCAAGAAAAGACAAAACGATAAAAACGACTCACGATGTAAAAAACCAAATGTTCAAATCTCATGCTGTGCTATTAAAGTGTAGCAAAGAACGGCTTCTTAGGGTCACCAAATTTCCACCGCAACCGCTTTTCGAGGTCTTTGCACACATTTTAAGTTGCAAAACACAACAGCAGATAAACAGTAATAACTTAACAGGTTTGTGTCCAATTCAAGCAGCATTGTATTTACTTATTAAACTCTTTCTTTTTAGTGTGATCCTGGTTTGGTTTACCTGGAAGTGGTTGGAAAAGAAGCTTTCACTGACGCGAGGGCTGGGATAGCCTGGCCGACTGGGCTAAAGACAGAAAGATACCAGCAGGCTGGAGTTTGTCATCATGTTCAAATGCCTCAGAGAAACAGGAAGTAGTAGCAGGAGAGAGGAAAAAGAAAGGTCAAGGTGTCAGTGAAGTCTTACTTTCGGTGGAGCTTCATCTGAACCTCCAGAGTCCCAGGAAACGGTGACCTGCCTCCTCATCTCCTCCCTCAGCCTCTCCTCTTGTATACCCTTCTCCTCTGTCAGTATGACACTGCAAAAATCACGAGAAGAATAACAGCACACATATTTATTTATGTGTTTTATTCCTGCAGTTCAAATCAACTCAGCCTGCTCGCATTTATTTACTAGCGAATTACACAAAACATACGGCTCAAGAGTGGTTCCAGATAAATACTAAAAGACTCGATCAAAAAGCTAAAACATAGAAACTGCCCTCACCTCTAGCACTGTGACTGTACTTTCTGAATGACTCACACACATTTGCAATGACGCATTTTCGTAGTTGATAAAAATGTAAGTTGTTGTTTATTACAGTTGAAACCTAGAGTCCTGATTGCAAACGTCAGCAAAAAAGTCAATATTAAGACAAAGGCTGAAATTAAAAAACAATTATTTAATCACACACAAACATTTAACAGTACAGTGGAAGTTGTTTACAATCTGGATAATCTACTGAGAGATTTTTGATTCCAGGTATTTTTGGAAAAGTACGTAATGGTACAAAATCTCCATCTTGAACCTTCAATAAATAAATCTGACATGCATCTAATCTATGGTCAAAAATGAAAGTGGTCTGGGTCAGAATTGAACACAAAAAAATCAGCTTTAGGGATGAAAAGGTCAGATTTGGGCCTCTTTTAACTACACTGTGAACCAAACATAAGGCAGAAAAGTAAGTAAAAAAATGTAAACACCACGCCACAGGGAGGCGCCATTTCCATCTGGACTGAGAGTCCAGAAGAAGAGAAGATCCACTCCACCAAAATAACTGTTACCACATATCATAAAAGTAACAACTTTAAATAAAACAGGACTGAAAGTGAAAGAAAACATCTCAAAATAAATAGTTTGCCTTCTGAAATTGTGAGGAACTTGATGGCGTCACCATCCTAGTTTGTTCCAAGGAAATTAGAAACAAACTGAGGCACCTGAAAACTTCTTTGGTCCAATTTAAACCTGCTGTATTGGGGAAAAAAAAGAGAGAGAGAGCAGTATTCACCTGAGTTGTGTTTTGAGTTCAGTGAAGCGTGGCCTCTTGCTGGGGTCGTACGACCAACATTTGGTCATCAGGCTGTAGAGGGTGGGCGGACACTGGGGAGGCATGGCCAGCCGCTCCCCGTTCTCTATCCTACCAATCACATCGTTGTTCTTTACCCCCTGGAACGGCTTGATGCCGTACATTAAAATCTCCCACATACACACTCCTGCAGGGGGAAAACACAGCAGTTTTTAGTGTGTAATCCCATCTAAGATGTGTGTTTAGAGACGCAATCATAATTGGAACACATCAGAAATGCAACTAAACTTTTTAAAAACATAGGAACTACTCAAAATGTCCTGTTACATTCATTGTATGAACGCTGCTGTAGATTTAAAGGGAAACTGCTACTCAAATTACAAAAAGTGAATAAAAAGAATAAAGGAAGGTAGAGAATGAAGTGGGAAAGAAATAGGAAAAGTAAAGAGAAAGGCAAATCTTTGAGAGTAAATTGTCAGAGTAATATCAGATGAACTCACCAAACATCCAAACGTCACTAGCAGAGGTGAATCTCCTGAAGTTGATAGATTCTGGTGCCATCCATTTAATAGGAAGTTTACCTTTAGAAGCTGAGACACAAACATTTGATCATTAATATACTCAGAACCTCACCGAGAATCGACGACGACGGAGGAACTGCAGTTCCCTAATGTCACCACTAGATGGTAGAAAAGTACAAGCGAAAGAAAAGCTACTCCAACTAAAGCACAGACTGATCTCAGCTCTTTGCTTAGTGGAGCAACTAAAACCTGTATAGAAAACATCTCACGTGCGTGACGGTACAATGAAAACTTTGATGACTTTACTCCTCATTACAGTTGGACATGCCATTACCTTTGTAGTAAGAGCTGTCCTCCATGTATCGAGACAGACCAAAGTCTCCGAGCATCACGCAGTCCACAGAGGAGACCAACACATTACGCGCCGCAATATCTCTACAACACACAACATCTGTGTTCAGCTTTGAATCCTCAAATTAGAAACATTACGCAGATTTATTATAAATGACATTGTGATTATAACTTAAGATGTGACTGAATAAGTAACTTAAGTTTATAACTTTTTATATTTAGCTAGTGACTTTTTTATATTTTTAGGAAAAAATGTACGTCTTACAACAGAAAATGTTAGGCAGAGCACAAAATTGTTTATTAATAAGAATTTTTTTTGGATTCTCTTTCATTTTATAGTGGATAGGAGGAGCACTAACCTCCTAGGCTGACTAGAACAACCCTAATTCTGGTTCTTATTGCTAAAAATAGCATTTTTTAAATTTGCTTTTTTATTATTATTATTTTAAATCAAACCCAAAAGAATTTTCAAAGTAGATGCCAATCTTTTAATGAGTCAAGATGCAATTATGGATCTTCCATGATTTAAAATGACTTTGTTTTCTTATTTTAATGTTGAGAGGGAAAAAAAGCCCACTGTCGTTTTATATGATTTCAGTTTTTCAAGAAGTAAAATACTTTTTTAAAAGTTTAGATGGCTGTACCTGTGCACAAAGCGTTTGCTCTCCAGGTAGGCCAGCGCTGTGCTGAGCTGGTAGGAAAACAGAATGAGGGTGGCCAAGTCCAGGCTGTACTTCTTCACCTGAAGGAACGACCGCAGCTACACACACACGCACACACACACAAACAAGCGCAAAGAGAAACATAAACGCACGTTTATGCAAATCTCCGTCCTGACGGACGAAGGAGGAAAATGTGACAAAGCGCTCTTAAACGCATTGCACCTCTCCGAGCGTGCAGAGCTCCATGATGATCCACACCGGGTTCTCTGTGATCACGCCGATCAGTTTAACGATGTGAGGGTGGTCGAACTGGCGCATTGTTACTGGAAAACAGAGAGAGTGAGCACTTCTGCAAGGAAACGGTGAGGAAATGAAGAAACGCAAAGCGCCGTTACAGGCTTCTTGAAGGAACTTCTCTCTGACGCTGTCTGTGGTGCAGTTTTTGCAGGTTTTGATGGCAACAGGCAGAGGCGGCTTGTCCTGAGGAACGCACAGAACGCAGGATAGCAGATTGAAAAACACGAGCGTCATTTAACGATTGTGTAGGCATTGATGGATTATGAAATACAATGCCTGACTAACTGAGGTTTGGGAAATATTTTATATTTGAGAAAAGAGAACAGAAACATAAAAAGTAGAGATCTGCTTGTAAAACACAGCAGATCCTTTAAAGTTGTAACTGCAAATTGAGGTGAGGAGGGAGAAATTGGTTTAGTTGTACATCAAAACTAAAGTTGACTTTTTTTGACATTTAATACACAGGATAGAAACGTTTTTGATGTTAAGTATGTGTATAATGATCAGGACGGACACACGTACAGACGACTCCTTATCAGCATGAATACTGTATTAAATTATGGCTGAAAGACTTTTTTTAACCCTTCACTTTCCAGGTGACTTGATCACACAATAAACAGCTGATGTTTTAAGTTTGAATTTATTATGGATTGCATCTACTAAGGGCTGCACAATTTTAGGAAATCTATATGTGCGTATGTGACGATATCTCTCTTCCTTGGCAAATTGCAGAAAGTGACACGCTTTTTGTATCCATAAACAAAATCCTGGCATAATTGGGGGAAACAAAACTAACAAAATGTGTCAAAGTTTCAAACGTTTGGCTGTTGATCTGAAATGATTTCGAAGTACTCAGATGTAGTCCTTCGTCTTTATCATTCCACCTCGTGGATTCAGAAGCAGACTCTCTCCGGCATCTCCTATTTGATAAAATTCCTCCTCAGTGGCTTCCTGGATCATCATTCTAACTAAATCACCTGAGCGGGGATAGTTTCGTTTAAAGGTTCGACTCGAACGCAACTGGATGTTCCAAAGAGCCCAAAAAACTTTAACTAGTTTTGAACTGGCTAAAGCAGACTAACGTTAAGCTTCAACAATGTAATTGTCCATATTTGCTTCTGCCTCTTCATTTAATTCAAACAAAAAGCGTCGTGTTTTTAGAGATGTTAGTGTTTATTCAACGACGTTTGACCGTTTGCGTGTGTGTACGTTTCAACAAACCGGGCAGCTGTAGACTCCTTGGTGAACGTCGCCAAACTGACCCTCTCCGATGCAGCGACCCAACTCTATCCTGTCTCTCTGGATCTCATAATCCCGTGCTGAGAGGGGAACATGAGAAAAGAGCAAAGAAAGTATTTTTAAAAAACAAACAAAACAAGGCTATCACATTTAAAATGAACAACTTTCCCAGTATTATAAAATGATGAAACGTTTCTGTTTCCCCCTGAGGTTAAAAAAAAAAAAAAAAAAAAGTACCCACTGGTAGTAATCGGCAAACGTTTCGGTAGGTCTCCTGTTCGCATCACAGACTGAGGAAATCTCAAACAAATGTTCTAAAACATGCAAACCAAACCACCTCCATCATCATTAGAAATTCTTCATGCAGAGTAGATAATAC